TAACACTTGAAGACTTATAGTCCAAGTGTCCTAATGACTACTTAAAAAGTTTCACCTCAAGAGCCAGTTGTACTTAGTGAATATTATTGTGAGATAAGCCTTGACCTTGGAGATAAGCCTTGACCTTGGACTTTTCGTCTGAGGCTAGATGCCCTACAAGATCAAGTTTCTCCATAAACAGTCTAGAGTATTCGGCCGTAGACCTATCCCCTTTGTTAAGAGCTTGGAACTCGTCTTTAATATGGTTCAACGCCATCTCGTTGCAGTATTTTTCCATGATCGTTCCTTTAAATACTTCCCACGTGAGAAATGGGATGAAGGCGGCTGTAAGGGCGGACATGGTAACATTCCACCATCTAAGGGCTTGACCCCTTAGCAATTAGGAAGCATATTTCACCTTTTGTTTCTTGCCACATTCGCTACAATCAAAAGCTTGTTTGATTTCCTGAATCCAGTTCATATAGGCAACTGAGTCTGTGGTTCCTGAAAATTCGGGGGCTTGCCCCATAAGAAGGTCTTGTACGAACAGACCCGCTCTGCTTGCCTCACTACAACAACTTGTTCTTCGGTGCTAGTGGCATGTGCGCCACCCCCTGAACCATTTCACAACATTTTCCGCAACCCCCTCATGTCTCTGGTAACTAGCATCTTTGTCTTCCAAAATCTTCATAAATCTCTCTTCTCGTTTGTCCATGGTCGTGTTCGTCACTTGCATAATACTAGCCAACATTATAGACTCAAGGTCTAACTCTTCAACAACGGGAGTACTAGTGTCCAAGTTTTTCTGTGGCACTACGTCTATAACACCCCTTAACATCTATGGAATTGGGGGATCTTGGGTGTTGTCGACTTCCCTTGTTTGCCTTGGTGGTCTTGAGCCGTAACACTTCCATCATTTCCATCTTCTTGAGTTACTTGCCAATTCTGGGTGATTACCATGGTGAACTGCCACACACATTACAAAGATCATACCGGTTAATTCTTTAAAAAATTAACTTTTTGTAACGTAGTACTACATTTATCAATCATCAAAACAACAATAATTACGTATTTTATATTCACAATAGCATGGTCCATATGAAATTCTGAATATGTTACACACAAGAATTCTCGTTATCATTATTACAACTTTCAATAATGTATTTTCATAAGTCCTATCGCTCTCTCACACCCTACAAATTCTAGCCATGACTTAAGAATAGTCACTAAAGTTTACAGCTTAAGTTTAGGCATCTAAAATTATACCTAGTTCACTTAAACCAAAACTTTGACACCAACTTGTAACACCCCAAAAATGGGACGACAAAATTTCCAAATAAACCGAAAATGTGGTAATTAAATATCAAAATACAAGCCTTCCCAAAAAGGGAAACTTAGATACACCTGTTAAATTACAATTCCTAACAATAGGTTAWKAGAAAAACAACCTTCTTATCTGATTTTTTAAATAAACAAGATTGCAATTGTATATCACCCAAATTATCAAATGTCCACTTCAAAAGAATGTGGGTCAAAATATTTCCTAAGCTCTCATTCTAAAAGAGCAGTCAAGTCTTCTTGGTGACCATGCCACTAAAATCTGAGATACATTCTGACACCAAACAAGTGTTAAACCAAAGAGCCTAGTGAGCATAAACATAAAGTAAAATAATTACAACATTATTAGTTAGAAATCATTAGTAAGCCAAATACAACATTCAGATAGAATCAACAGGGGAGACTCGTATCCATTGAGAGTGRCGGGAACATAAAAATAAGTCAGTCRAACAATGTTWCCGCATAACACTTGAAGACTTATAGTCCAAGTGTCCTAATGACTACTTAAAAAGTTTCACCTCAAGAGCCAGTTGTACTTAGTGAATATTATTGTGAGATTCTACCTTAAGGCTCGGCAAACATGGTATCTACCCCTAAGGTAATGGCAGAGATCTTAGTGTATACCCATAAGGTAACACCTCAACCCTCCTAGTGACTATTTGGAAAGTTTCATCCAAACATAGGAATCCATGAAAATGTCCAATTAATCTATTTTTAAATAATCTTTCATAAGTTATGTCATATAAGATGCCAAATAGTGTCATAGATTCATCCAAACTCGGGAGACTAACATTTATAGACAAAAGCCCAACTTTGGGTCAAAATCCCAACAAATATAATTTTTCTTAAAATACCAATATGATAAACCAAAATCCATAATAAGTTATCCCAATAGACATTCGACATATAGAGATTCAATATCATGACCTTAATATGAAATTTGCCCAAAAATGCATAAAACATCATCAAATATGAGCATAAGATTAAATCACCAAATAATTATGTAATACTTGAAATTAAAGCTTGTAATAGCATTAAAGAACTCATTTAGGTTATTATATTATATAGTTTTACAAAGCATTTAACACTCACTTGTTAAGTTTTTGGAGAAAACCTAGAAAATTGGTTAAACCCCAAATTTGAAGATGATGGACTTGGATCTTGAAGTTACACTTCAAACCTTGGTGTTTAGAAGCTTTTAAACACATGGAGGTGAATAATAAATGCATTAATAGGTCTTCAATTCAGTCTTAAATGCAAAGATAGAAAGTCTGGCGTGAGCTTTATTGGAGAAGATGAGGATGGTGAAAAGTTAGGATCATAACCTTTGTAACTCTAGATGGAATCGATGCTGATAAGTGGTAGAGTGGTTCCAAAATCGGTGTTCTAGGTTATAGAGATCGAAGTAAATGGAAGGGGAGAGGAGTAGGTGAAGTAACAAATGAGCTCAAAAAAATCTCGTTTTCTGTATGAATTTTGCACAACCCCCCTTTCTTAACTTTCTGCACGGATTTGTGACAGTGGTGGGTTTTCTTCATGCCAGTGAAGTGCTTATTTTCATTACATGACTCATTTTTCAACCAAAATCATTCTCGATCACTACCAACCCTCAAAATACCTTAATTTAATTATTTTAATAGTAAAACAAAGGTAAATATAAAACCTCATTTTACTTAATTGAAACATTTTGGGTTACATTTACCGTACAGTCTTGAATTAAACTGTTAAAAAAATGCTTTGTTTGCTTAGAAATAGGGCAAAACTACACAGAAAGTAACATTAAGATAACGTCAAAATTGGTGTTATCCAGTTGTACATTGAATTTTATTTTTGCATTTGTATCAAATAAAAATGATTCCAGTGGTTTATCTCTACTTCTTCAATTTAGTTGCAACTCTATTTTGATAATATTATAGTTTAGGATGATGAACTTGATTTCTCATTTGTTTTCTACGGAAAGGATCTCAATATTCTAGATCTACTTCTACTTCTACTTCTACTTCTACTTCTACTTCTGCTTTCAATCTACATATTTATTTTTATGAAAATGAAATACGGTTTTGATGTGCAACTTAATTTGACTATTTCTTATTTTTTGTATAATGTGGCAATAAATAACATGAACAAGAAAAAGAGGCTCTTGGAAGTGAAAGGGTAAAAGGGCATATTTGCTCTCCAAGTGAGCTAGGGCTACATGAGTGAGTAACAATTACATTTTGATGGTGTTAAATACATAGACCATAAGCGTTATGAAAAGTAAAAAAAAAATTAGGGACCGTCTGTATACTTAATGTGTTTGAGAGGCTCGATACAAATTTTGTGTAAACCACTGGGACTAAGAATGTAATTCACTCTATAATTTATTTTAGAGTAAATAACAGATTTGGTCCCTGTGGTATGCGTATTTTTATGGAATTGGTCTCAAGACTTCATTTATTACATAAAACACCTTGGTGGCAGGGCCGTCCCAATCTTTTTGGAGGCCCTGTTACATTATTATAAAAAACGTTTAGACAATTTATCTTTAGGACCTTTCTGAACAGACAAATCTCTTTTAGGACCCTTAGCAACTAACACATCAATCATTTTAGAATCTAATGCATCCCAATTTCTTGGATCAAATATATCAAAATGAACAAAAACATCATCAACATTAGTAGCATCATTACCATTAGTAGCATCAGGACCATCATTAGAAGCATTATTAGCATTTATATCAGGAACATCATTAGAAGTAGCCAAATCCACATGAGAGTCATTTAGAGTGCCAACTAAATTCACCATGGTAGGATTTTCATTAGCATCAACACAAGCATCATCCAAATTAATATCAATATGTTCATTGTCAAGAGAAGACGGACCTTCTTTTAAGACAAATTTATCAAGAGATCCCTTTTGAGATTGAATTATCTCTTCAATTATTTTCTTTTTTTTACGTTTTTGACATCTAGAATCATATTTTCTAACCCTAGAAGACATATTAGAACTGAAATAAGTCAAATAAAAAAGATAAGAAACAAAATAACCTGAGTGAGGATGATAGTACTACTTCTAGCTATTGATACTTGGTCCTCCCAAGTCCCAACTCCCAAGTCCCAAAAGATTTTGATTGCACTGCAAGAGATAAACACATGTACATATTAACATATATTAGAATTTAGAAATAAGAAATAATAATTTGAAGTCTGTTTGGACCAACACAGAAAAATAACAAACCAGGGAGACCTTTCATTAGTTCATATACTTGCAAAATTGTATAATATATTCAAACAAAACAACTGAACTACTGAAATTCAGTGAACTACAGTGTACAGTCTACTGTCTACACACAGATTACAATTTACAGAACAAGTGAACAACAATACACTAGTTCCAGGGAGACCATTTGTGACTTGTGTATACATAATACATATTCAACACACAGAGTCCACAGAACAACACTAGGAACAACACTTCCAGGTTGAGTGGTTGACCATTTACAACCAAACTTGTTACTTCCAGGGAGACCATTTCTAATACATAACCTCTCACAAGTCACAAGTCACAGATTACAGAACAACACTTCCAGGTTAAAATCAACCACTTACGATTTAGGAATTAGGTTAAAATCAACCACATTTAGGAACCGAATTTGACAATTTGTGTATACATAATTACCGTTGTTCTAGTTGCCGTTGCAATGGTTGCATATCTAAAACCGAATGGTCCGAATCATTAGCCATTTTGAAAGAATTCAATCGATGATAATCGAGGACGGGACGGATAGAGAGGAGAAGGGAGATCGAGGCGACGAGGGCACGAGGTGAGT